CAGGGATTGAGGGCAATGAAAATGTCATATATGTATATGATTATCAGCACTTTTATTATCATTATTATTATTGTTGTTGTTATTATTATTATCATTGTTATCATTATTATTACTATTATTATAGTTATTATTATTACTGTTATTATCATCATCATCATTATTATTATTTTAACTATTATTATCTACAAGTGCTTTTACTTTCCTGTACAGCCACATAAAATGTTCCCACAGGGACAACAACGTTTTATCTTATCTTTCTTGTCTTGTCTTGTCTTGTCTCACCATATCTTATATATTATCTTACCTCAGCTTATCCTACCTTATCTTGTTCTACCCTATTTTATCCTATCTCATATTATCTTATTTTATCATATCCTGTCTATTCTTATTCTATCTTATCTTGTCCTATTTTATCCTCTCTCATATTATCTTATTTTATCATATCCTGTCTTATCTTATTCTATCTTATCTTATCCTATTTTAACCTATCTTATTTTATCTTAAATTATCTCATCCAATCTTATCTCAACTAGTGTTTGCTTGGGGTGGGCATGGGGCGGCGGTTCGAAGCTTTGCCCCTGGCCTTGTTGCCGCGGGTGACCTCGATGGACGGGGGCCGGTTCCGGTGGGGGCTGACGTTGGTGTTGGCCGGCGCAGAACTGACCACCGTGCTGTAGTTGGAGCGGACGGCGTGGGGCTCAGTCACGCTGGTGCTCACTCCAGCCTCGCCCACCACGCGCGGGGAAGGCATAGGGACAGGGCGGGGGGCGGGGAGGGGAGAAATCACCTCGCCGTTGACCCCCGACCCCTCCATCAGCCGCCGCTCGTTCTCCGCGTTCTCCATTTCTTCCTCTTCTTTGTCATCGTAGTTGTTGTCTTCCTCCGCCTCTGCCTCCGGCCCCTCCCCCCTCCTCTGCCTGCTCTTCCTTTTGTTTTTCTTCTTCTTTCTCTCCGTGGTGTTGCTTGGGGATGATGCGTTGTTTTCGGGTGGGATGGAAACTGTTGCGGCACCGGCCGTGGTGAGAGGAGGCAGGCGACCGTGCCTGGGGAGAGACAAATGAGGGGGGAGAATTACATTTTTAAAAGTTTTAGTAAGGGTTTTACGGCACTTGCAACACAATAAGGTCATATAAGTGCTGGAGAATAGAGGTGTCGCAAGAGAGTAGCATACACAAAAAAAAAGGACGGAGGAGGAGGAGAGATAAGGACGATAGATGTTTGATAGGAAAGAAGGAGCAAACCACATCAGAGCACCCACCAACCACCCACATAATTACATTTTGACGAGCGCCTGATTCACCACGATGCTTCACAAATGTCCGACAACCAACTGTAAAAACCCACATTTTGTCACATGTCACAACAAAACGAAACACAAAGAGTTAAATGCCACTACTCCTTAGCATATATAATGATATATTGTGTTGAATATGTCTGTTCAGTGAACCATTAAATGCCACTACTCCTTAGCATATATAATGATATACTGTGTTGAATATGTCTGTTCAGTGAACCATTAAATGCCACTACTCCTTAGCATATATAATGATATATTGTGTTGAATATGTCTGTTCAGTGAACCATTAAATGCCACTACTCCTTAGCATATATAATGATATACTGTGTTGAATATGTCTGTTCAGTGAACCATTAAATGCCACTACTCCTTAGCATATTTGCTTGCTTTTAAGCACAAGGAGGCTATCCCGAAAAATTCTGTTTTGAGAAAATCGAAGGTAAAGTTTTTGCCCCTTGCTCAGTTTCTCTAAAAGACAAGGAGAGTTTTCTCTAATCAAACAAATATACACAACAATGAAACCAAACTTCTCCTATAGGTAGGGCAATGCTCACTTTTGGTGTAGGTCAAGATTTCTGGAAACCCCCGAAATCTGGGTTAGCCCGCTTGTCCTTAAAAGCGACCATATAACGATATATTGAGTTGAATAAGTTTCTCCAGTGAATCATTAAATACCACTACCCCAAAGCATATATAACAATAATAGATAGCATTTTTAGAGCGCATATCCCCGCTCAACAGCAGGCTCTATGCGCTTTACACTATATTATTACCCCAGCAGACCATAGAACACTCCGAAACATTCTCAGCTTCCCGGGAAGCATACAGTGCAAGCAGCCGATTAAGCGCTCAAACACTAACAAACTGACAAGATCTTTCGCTGTCTATAGCCAGGTACCCATTCCCACCTGGGTGAAGTGAGGAAAATTCGTGTAAAGTGTCTTTCCCAAGGACACAACGTCGGGTCCCTGACGGGATTCGAACCCACGACCTTACGGTTGCGAGTCCGAGAGCCTAACCACTAGGCCACCGACGCCACGATATATAACGATATATAGTGTTGAATATGTATGTATAGTGAATCATTAAATATCGCTACTCCTGATCCTAAGCATATATAACGATATATTGTGTTGAATATGTATGTATAGTGAATCATGAAATATCGCTACTCCTGATCCTAAGCATATATGGCGTTTGATA